GGGGGGGGGGGGATATGAACTGTGCTGAACTGATCCCTGCCAGAATTTCAGCCGTTTCCAATTCTCATTCTTCTTTGCGGGTAAAATACACAACACACATTCTCACATGCGCTGCACTCTTTCTCACACTCTATGGCCTTGGGATGGAAAATCGTTCAGGTTTTAGTTTCTCTTAGATTCACATTTTTCTTAAAACTGCAAGAAAATGGAAGAGCTTGATCGAACAAGGCTTGGGCAGATTGTTTTTGCTATTAGCATGCAAGCTAAATGTTTAGTCACATGTAAATTTGATTTGATATTTGTAAAATGTACATTCCCTTCCAATCTGTTCTCTATATGTATTACTGCTGTGATGTATCAGTCACTATAGTCAGGCTTAACTTGGTGCCTGGAGCCACAGGAAGAGGTTCGAGAGCCACATATAGCTCAGTAGCCACAGGTTGCAGCCCGCTGCTAACTTTGTACCCAGTAACTTTAACATCTTACTACCTACAGTCTTCAGTGTGCTGATGTTCTACTAGCTGTAGTGAGACTGGCTGATAACCTTGGTCATAAGACGTCTTCTCCTCCTGACCCAGAGAGTCACGTTTCTCTCAATCCTGTTTTTCTCTGCGCAATAAAATAATAACCAGAACAGCATCAGCCTTCGTTTTCCTAAAGTTGTCTCACTAATCGATTTCTCTGATTGCTACCACAGGCTGTGACTCAACAAAGAGGAGTTTCCGAAGAGCGGCTTGTGCAGCACGGCCTCAGACGTTGCCACGATGAGTAAGTGTTCTGTACGCTGACGTTGAACAGACACGCTCACAGCACAAGATAAAAACATAAACACACATCATCCCTGCGGCCAAAATCTGTTTGAGCTGCAGCCCCAGATGCAAGATTGGTTTTCACCGTGGCAGAGACAGGGTCTGGTTCCCTCCACGGCTCAGATGCTCGTATGAAGTCTGTCCAAATTAAACAAGGAGAATATTTTCTCTCCCTGAGTTACTCCAGCCAAGGAAGAGGATGCTCTGAAATCAAATGTGGGAAAAGGCATATCAGAATCACTCCTCTTCTTTGGCTCCAACACTGTGTTAGAGGATAGTCTCAGGACAGTTAGGGAACTGATTTTTTTGTTCTTCTCTTTACTCTAACTTATATTTCCCAAACAATTATCCCCTTCAGATGAGAGGCAGGCTCTCCACTCAATAATGAAGGACCTGGTTGCCCTCCAGATGACACGGCGCCAGCCCGTGCTGTCGTACGACAACAGTAAACCAAAAACCCTGACTCAAACCAACAGACAGGTAAGAGGAGTACTTTACAAAGCAAACATTCATATAATCAGAAAGGCAGTCATTCTCAGAAAGTAGGCTTCAAACTGGTACGTCAGAGGTCAGTAACCTCTCTGGTCTACATGCCGATGTGTCCACTGGCAGGATAGCTAACCTTGATTCTGCCAGATATGCAAACAGAGGCTTGATATGAATGACGTGTCTAAATCAGAGTTGTCAAAATTTAAAACACAGTCTTAAATTGTGGTCACAAAATCCATGGGCGTATGGGACATGTCGAGAAAATTAGTTGCTGTACACTTTATTGAAATTGGAATTTACTATTGTGAATTATCTGCTATACATACGGTATACATGCACGAAATATGACCTGTATTTACATGCTCTATTCTATAGCCATTAATTTTAAGACAACCATATATATGTTCAGCAAAGTCATGGTTGTTGAATTCTCAGATATTTTCAATAAAAATCAGGCCAATGAATGATGCAGTCTTATAGCCTTTCAACATTAAATTTCTCAGAATTAATTTATTATTAGTAGGTCCTGGGAAATTAGACTGTCTTATACTGTATGTCTGCCTTAAACACAGCTGGTGGTTTACATTTCCATACCATCACCATTCTTTAAATTCATATGCAGTGATCTCAATATTAAAAATAAAAAAATGTTTTTGTTCTTTTTGGTGCTTTCATTTCTTACCCACCTTTTGACCTCCCTGCATCTGTTTTCCCTCAGGACGATGTCAGGGTTAAGTTTGAGTTCACGGGAGAAAGAAGGTGAGTTATTTACAGTATGCAGGCATCATGTGTTCACATGTCTGCAGGTGGGGGCGAGCTGATACAGCCCCCTGAAATGGACATAAACAAACTAGTGCACATGCTGCCCACAGCACATGTTCCTGTTTATGAGCACATCTCAGAGTCAAGCTCTTAGTTCAGGATGGTATGTGAGCTGGAGAACACAGAGGAAAATCCTGGTTACTCAGTCACTGCCAGTACAAACTAGAAATATGCAAGGTGTACCCAGAGGAATCTGCCTTCACTGAAGCATGTGTGTATTTTACCAGCATGTGTGCTCAAAGCTGAAGGACTGCTGCACAGCTGCTGCAGATGTTGGTGAAGTTGGTCTTGTGTTTTTTTTTCTGCTTTGAAGGATCCTGATGTTTGGACGACCTGTGCAGTTTGAGGAAATTCAGCAGAAGGTCAAGAGTGTTTTCGGGCAGCAGTTGGACCTGCATTATATGAACAATGAGGTAAAGTGGGGACTTTCCTCTTTTGCTAGTTTGATTTTTCAGTTTTCATGTCATAACTCTAAAGGCAAACTGTTGTTATGTATTTGTTCCATACAAACGTAATGTTTAATATGTTGGTATTTATGTTTTGTTTTTTTTTGTTTTTTTGTCAAAACTGGTCTGTATAACTACAATGGACTCATTGTGACTTGACATTTGCATCTCGGCAGCTGTCCATCCCTCTGCGGAGTCAGGACGACCTGGACAAGGCCATCGATCTCCTGGACCGAAGCTCCAACATGAAGAGTGTCAAGATCCTTCTCCTTGCACCAGAGCACAGCAATGTGAGTTAAGCAAACACACACACACACACACACACATATATGAAGTGAACTACAGTGCAGTGTGAGACGTGTGAGATCTGTTTAGGTGGTGGGGGGGGTCAAATATATGGGCTGATTTTTTGTTTCCTGACACGAGGCTAAGGTTCCATTGTTTACTTGTTCACATTTTAAACCTCCCGTTTTGTTGTCTCTTCACTCTAGGTCTCCTCCCCCTCCCATGTGACCTGTAAACAGGTGAGGATCAAGTCTTCACAGTCAGCTGGAGACATAAGCTCAGTTTTCCAGTCCACGGAGCCCAGAGGGCGCCACCTATCAACCGGTAACTGTCTTCTTCTGCCTCTCATTGTGAAGAAATGTACAGAGAGTTAATGTAAACATTGTTACTCTGTGGTTTTCTGTCATAATACTGCTCTTTTTACTACATCAGTTTTCTTCTCTGTCGCTGTTACTTTCTTTCCCTCTCAAGCTGTTTTTTTTTTCTTCAACTTCCCCTTCCAGCAATGGGTCCTCTTCCTTTTCCTGTTTAATATCACTAGGCCGTGCCTGCTGGACAGCAGCCAATCAGATTGTAGAGTTAAATCAGTGCGCTCAACCCTTGGCCAGTATAGGTTTGTTTTTCTCAGCACAGCAGCGGGCGCAGTTTTTGACTTTATGACAGCAGCAAATCATATACCTGAACCAGTTTGAAAACTGTCAGCACTTAAATCAAATGTCAGTATTTGTATATTTGTCACAAAAGGGAGAACATACAGAGGTCTAATAAACATGCCATTGCAATTGTTTTAATTAGTGTGTCACCACTGTGTGGTTACTTCCTACGTTTTTTATGTTTTATTCATGCTTAAAATTATTTTATCAGCGGTGTTTTTGTGTGAGTTTACTGTAAGAGTGGATAAAGTGTCTGCTAAGAAATGCCAAAAACCAATGCCAAATGCCAAGTAGCTAACTGTTAAGAAATATAGCCATAGTTTAAAAAGCTTATTAGTCAAAACAACTGAAAAAGAACGTTTACTTGCCAACCAAAAAGCAGAAAAGTGCTCACTAACAACAACGCTAAATAAGCAAAAAATCTAATGCTTAAAGGGAACCAAAATGCTCCAGGTAACCCCATGTGAACTAAAGATCAGCTGAGAGACATCTGCTAGTTGCATGGAATGCAGTAAAAACTAGGGACTGTTAGATCAAAATAAAATCTCAGCATGATCTCTTCAGCTATGACTAACCTTTCTAAACAGATAACGAATCTGATTGATTGCTCTATTTCCACATCACGCCATCTATTTTACAAGGTAACTTTCCTTTTAATATTTACTACTTCTGTCGAATTCCAGGTTCTCAGAACACGGGGCGTAGCTCACCACCTCCTGGATATGTGCCTGAGCGCCAGCAAAGGATCGCCCGCCAAGGTTCCTACACCAGCATCAACAGTGAGGGGGAGTTCATCCCTGAGACCAGTGATCAGTGTGTGAGTCACAGCGTCATAATTAATGGGGAAAGTCCGCCTCAAAAATAGAATTCTCGTGATGTATTTATGACCTCAGGTTAAAATCCGCTCTAATAAACAACTCTGCTTCAGCCACTTGATCCGTGACCTCGTCTGCTCCCTGCAGTTGTTTTTGCTCATTAAAAGTTTGTGGGCGCAGAAAACTGTTTTGGAAAATTTCCAGGGAATTTTTCAATATACAAGAATAATATGTGTCGTAAAAAGCTGGGCTGGTTTGTCAGTGAAAGGTCCTGCTCTCAGTCTGTCTGACTTACTGCACTCACAGTTTCCAGATATGATTTGGGTTTTATTCAGTAAGGTACATATTTATACTGACTTTTTTATTTTTCCTACCGTCACAGGTGCTGGATCCATGGAATAGTGCAGAGAACTCTGTCTCTGGGAGCTGTCAGTCTCTGGACAGCAACTCAGACAGGTGAGGAACATGAGTACTGGACGGAACTGTTTAAAGGCCTCGTTCTATTATAGTGGTACTTTGTTTGTACAGTACTTAGTGAACTGCCATGAAGCTGTTTAGACTTCATTCACTCACCTTTCTCTCACAGCCCCTCACTGAGGAAGTCTCGCATGTACAGGGCCAAGAGTTACCCTGATAATCGTCAGGACTGCTCAGGTAGGAGAAACCGCTAAAAGAAGTATCTTTTTTTAGGCTGGGTTCATTGTGAGTTTTTTTTTACAGCAGATTTTAATTTTGAGACTTTTAGGCAGTGGTTCCCAAACTCACGTTCAGTGGCCTCAGAGTACAATGGTGTAAAACAGAGGCTCACGTGAGCAGTAGTTTGAAGTAAAGTAAATGCTGTAAGTGAGCGTGTAAAGCAGCTCATGTGAACTCTGTGTGACTGTAACTGAGCTCAATCTCTGCTGTAAAAGTAGATTATGATCTCGCTGACCTTTGACTCTGACCTCTGACCTTTGTTAATGGCTTTCAGATAGGGAGAATCACGTCCACGACAGGGTGGCAGGAAAAGGTGGCACCTATCCTCGAAGGTACCACGTCTCCCTGCATCACAAGGACCACAGTGAAGGTGAGATGTCTTTAAATTTTACAGAGGGTCAAGGGTCAAACTCTAACTGGGTGTAACTCTTTAATATGTTAATAAATGTTTCTGTTGACTCTCTTCAGATTTATTTTGGTGTTTTCTCATCTAATTCTTCGTTGTTCTCGACGTGATGCTAACTGCTGTTTCTTTCTGTATCTTTCCGTAGGTCGGCGAACATTCCCACGGATCCGGCGGCCACAGGGAAACCTCTTCACTCTTGTGCCTTCACGCCGGTCACTCAATGGCAGCGAGGAGAGTCTGGGCAGCTGGCAGCTGGTGGACGCTCAGGGCAGGCTACGGCCGCAGGAGCGTTCTGTCGCCCATAAGTGTGAGTGATAGTGTGAGAAGATAACAGATTCAATACCAGTGTTTGTCTTAAAATGATTGTTCAGAAGGGTTACTTTAGTTCTAATTCAACAATACAAGCATGTGTATAAACCAAAAACTTTTTTTATTATGTTTTTTTTTTTTTTCTTAGCACCCACTGCTCCAGTAACATGGCGGCGCGGCAAGCTGCTGGGTCAGGGGGCGTTTGGACAGGTTTACTTGTGTTATGATGTGGACACTGGGAGAGAGTTGGCTGCCAAACAGGTCCAGTTTGATCCTGGCAGTCCTGAGACCAGCAAGGTGAGAGCTGCTCAGTTAGTCACTTAGTGTTTATTTTTTTAATGGTTATTCATTTTTAGTTTAATTGGCCAAACATTTTCCCCTCAGGACATTCCTTTCCAGTTAGCTTGCAGTCAAACATTAAACTAAAGCTTATTAATGAAAAAGAACGATCACTGCATTTTGGTAATAATCACATGGTGAGTTCATGCATGAAATGATTAAACTGAATTGGAGGCTGACTAGTGATCCCTGGGATTACATTATCTATAAGAAAAAGAGCTGCATGTTGAAATGTAAAGATTGTCTTAAACCCTGAGTGTTAGAAAGAAAATCATCTGAATTTAAGTGCATATGAAGAACTTTAAAGCATAGAGTAAAAGGTCATACTTAAAGTATTATTATGATATTTTCTTTTTTTTTACCTTGGCATTTTTGGACATGAACAAAGCAACTTCCCACTTATTAATTTGATTGTATAGTTTCTCTTGATACAAGGTATCAAAAACTGAGAAAATATTACCAAACTCAAAGCAGTTTTTTTTTATTTGATTCACAGAAAATGTGAAAGTTAAATAATTATAGCAGTAATAATAGATTTGATCATTTTAAAATCAGCCGTCAGGTTGTTAATCTTTACTTGTGGACTACAGTCGTGACGCAGCATCCTCACGTCTCTCTGCAGGAGGTCAGTGCTCTGGAATGTGAGATCCAATTGCTGAAGAATCTGCACCACGAGCGCATTGTTCAGTATTACGGCTGCCTGAGAGATCACAGTGAAAAGACGCTCACTATTTTTATGGAGTACATGCCGGGGGTGAGTGTCGGCAGATGTGATGTCAGTGGTTAAAAGATGACTGAGTGCAGTTGTTTTCTTTTCTCTTCAACTTCACTTTGTTATTGACTGATCACATCTCCATAGAAGTACCAGTATAAACTCCATAGACATTGAAGGTGTACAGTAGCATGAGACTGGAGTTTGCCCCTGACCCTCAGACTCTTGACTCTTTTCCTTGTTCTTTTTTTAATCAGGGTTCAGTCAAAGACCAGTTAAAGGCCTACGGGGCCCTGACGGAAAATGTGACCCGGAAGTACACCCGCCAGATCCTGGAGGGCGTGTCCTACCTGCACAGCAACATGATCGTACACAGAGACATCAAAGGTCGAACGCAGCAGCCTGTCCCAGTGTCCGTCTGTTTAAACACTGGACCAGTGTTTGGACAGAGACTTACTAACGCAGGTCTCATGTCAACTCTGGCTCTCAGGTGCCAACATCCTGCGGGATTCAGCGGGCAATGTGAAGCTTGGAGATTTTGGTGCCAGTAAGAGGCTGCAGACCATCTGTATGTCCGGCACCGGCATCCGCTCCGTGACCGGCACCCCCTACTGGATGAGTCCGGAGGTGATCAGTGGAGAAGGCTACGGCAGAAAGGCTGACGTCTGGTAAGACCCGGGGATTACACAGCAGTACAATAACAGTATGTAGTGTAGAGTGTCATGTTCCCACGTGTTCTCCTGTGGTTTTTGTTCAGTGTTTTGTTGTAAACGTAAATTGATGATAAAGTTTTAAATGTGAAATTGAACAGAAGAAGTTACTGTATTAGCAGTATCTTAATGGGAAAACGTTTCTTAATTAAAATATGTACAATACAATGTACAATATACTGTGTTTTAACCAGGTTAAGGCAGCAGTGTTTGTGCCTTTGGCCTTGTTTTCTCCTGGATTTCTATTATCATAGTTTAACATGAATAATTAATTTTTAAAAATACATTTAAATCCACATTATTTCATTGACTTGACAATGAACTTTCCATGAAATTTCTTAATTACTTGCACTTATTATAATAAGAATTTAATTAATTTGTCGTTCTTCTTCTTCTAATTCTGTATGTGTTTATATTTGATGTGGTGTTTAATTAACAATGTGATGCCGGTGTGAAAACCCCTGGTGTCTGTCCTGTACAGGAGCCTTGGTTGCACAGTGGTGGAGATGCTGACAGAAAAACCTCCATGGGCTGAATACGAAGCCATGGCGGCCATATTCAAGATCGCTACCCAGCCCACCAACCCTGTGCTGCCCTCTCAGACCTCTGACCAGGCGCGGGACTTTATCCGCTGCATCTTTGTGGAGGCCAAACACAGACCCAGTGCTGAGGAGCTGCTTCGACATTCTTTCTCCCAGATCCTGTGCTGAAACACTCACAGCATCAGAACCTGAACCACGGTAACGACTTAGTGATACCTGGAACCCACGTGGTCTGCTGAGCACCTGCCACGATACACAGGCTCATAAGAAGAGTCAGAGTTTTTCTGAAGTGAAGATGGCTTGACCGCTTCTGTTAGCACAAAGCTATTACACCCAGTGTAAGTACATGCAATTATGAAAGTGACCACAAGGTGGCGACGGTGGTGTGTTGATCGTTCTCAGACGTACAGTAACTTTTCAGTGTTAATACGGTCTCCACAGTGTGAGTTGACACAGGCAGGAGATTTTAAGGTTTTTTATCTCAACACGAGCCTGTCACAGACGGTGTTTGCCCCACTTTGAGATTTTATTCCGTTAATCATACTTAAGCTATTTTCTAGTGTTTTTATTTCTGTAAGTGATCTGTGGTTTAACCAGTAAGAGGAATGTATACATCGTAGAAGTGCAATCAGCAAAAAAGGAGCAGTTTCACCAGAAGACAGAAAGATTCTTCTTGTTTGACTTTTAAATTGAACTTTTACTCTAGTGTTCATCACCAACTGTTTCAGGTTCCTTCTTCCTTAATGTGCCTTCTACAACCACATACCAAAAGTCTCGACTCAGACAGGTGGTAAAATACAGGGGGTCCTCCACTTACATAACATCATAATGTAGGACATAAAAACATAAGAAGAGTCTGACTCACACCTGGGAGCCATAATGAAGGGCAGAAATTTCCCCAAAAAAACAGCACAAATGAAAGACAGGAAGTGTAGCATAATCCAATGTATGGTGTAATACTAGCGAATGTCTCAGATCCTCTCAATCAACAAAGTGCCAAGAATAGAGCAGAAGAAGAAGAAACAAACCAAAGAGCCATGGATTTAGGGTTTTTTTTTGTTTTTTTTTTGCCTTCAGATCACGTACTTTAAACGTCTGATTAAATATCCTTAACTTAAGGATCAACTTTAAATCAAATGTATTTTTTCATTGTCAAATGTTTGGGGATTTTATTTTTGCAACCAAATTAGATTCTTTTGAAAGACCTAAAATGTGAAAATTAGTTTAACTTTATTTATATCCCCGTTCCCATTCCAATTAGATTTTTTAAAGCAAGAATAAATGTATGTATAAATCTATTTTTTATATATTAGACTGTGTCAGATCTGGTGATACTGTACAGACGCCGTGTTGACTAAAGTAAATCATAGAAAGCAGCTGGTTTTGCAGACATCACAGAAATTGAGTTTATAAATGAAAAATGGATGGAAAACGAACTCTGACAGTGTGGTTCAAGTTCCTGGAAATAGGAAAAAAAAAAAAAAACTTTCCACACATTCTTAGCTATACATTCAGGTGACATTACCTGGAAACATTACATCATTCTGCCTTCTTTTTTCCCTGAGCTCTCATGAAAGAAGCTTTTAGGAGACTGGTATCCCACCAGAGTCTACTGGGAATGTTTATGGATGAATCTCCATGATTAATTAGGATGGTGTGGAGGGAGGGGGGCTGCGTTGGGAGGGGGTATTTGAACTACCGCTGGACGTCAGAGTTCGCTGTTCAACCAATAATGACGACTTTGTTTATCCCAGGGTTCGGAAAGAAGCTTTATCTTTCAGAGTTTTTGCCTCCTCAACACTGAGATGGTAGTCTGCATCAGGTTGCTAACAGCGCTAAAGCTAGCTAATGTGGAGTGTGTGTTCAGAGAGGAAGAAAGAGCCCTGGGACAATCAAATGAAAGCAGATAGTTGTTAGACATCCATATGTATGTTATTGTATGATCATGTATCACGACAGGACTTGCAGTGCAAAGTCTAATACATCAGATTAGCTCTACAGCAGGAAGAGAGGAATACGTTTGATGACGTATGCAGGTGTCATGGCCGCTCTGAAATAAATAAATTGTTTTTTAAAATTCCTGCCTTTTTCTTCCCAAGTCTACAAGTCGAGCTTTGTGCATGGAGCCCACCTGATGAATGGGCAGTGGAGACGGAGCCCATTGTTGGCAGTAGGAAGCTCCTGTCGTTTTGCTCTTCTGTTGACGAGGAACAGGAGGCTCAGACATGTCTCAGGCTGTGAGACTGGAGACCAACTGTTCCTTGAACACACTGTGGCACAGAGATGTACGGCTGTGGCCTCGACCGCATTTTGGCAGCATACATTTATTGCACAGGGGGTGCAGGAGGTCAAACTAAGTTTTTTTGTGCCAGAGTGGCGAAAAATCACTGACTTTTCCTTTTTCACTAAGAACATATGTTTTTCAGAATTCCGGTGCTTTAATACATTTCAGTGGAGGTTTGAAGCACTAGCTCTGTATGTGTCGACAGGGGGGGGGGGTTACAATAGTCAGTTTGAGGAACACTGATACAGCAGCTGCTTTTACATTTCCTCAGTTCCACCCAGTGTGGGAAACACGTCCTTGGACGTACAGTAGAGACAGAGCTGAGGCTGCAGCGGTGTTTCCAGCTCGTTGGTCAGGATTCAGTTTGGTATGTGGCCGCGTACATTCAGCCATCATTAGGATTGGTCGCTCAGAGGCTCACACTGCAGGATCCTGGGTGTAAAATGCCAGCGCACAAAGGAAGCGTTGAGTAGTGTTCAGTCCATCTCAGCTGGCACCAGCGGAGCTCTGGCCTCAGACCAGTTTGGTCGCGGCAGCATTGAGATTCTGCTCCGCATCACTTTTCCTTGTAGGTCCTGGAAAAGTGGACGGGCTCCTCATGTTAGACACATGAATCAGCTGTTTGACTCAGACCTCTCCTGACTCTCGCAGCAGGGAGGAGGAGGAGTGTGCAACTCTCCTCGCTCTGTGTGTGAATGTTTCATCTCCGGGACTTATTACCTCAGTGACCAGATCTGAGGCAACGGCAGTGATGGTCGAAAAAATCCCGGAGGCAGAAAAAAAATGAGTGTGTCCTTAATGATGAAACCACGCCGTTAATCCTCGGAGGTGGAGCTTTTTAAATCAACAAATGTCCACCAGACTTTTAGTGTGCCATCTACTTCTACCGTCTATTAACAGAGACCAATTGGGATTCAACACACTGTGCTGCTGTTTCTCTGCTAACAAGTAACAACACACAGCAGCCAGATAGTAGAGTCATATGAGGCTTTATTCACTGTCTCCCAGTGCCACAGGTTTCCACTCGCCGTGATTTGATGTTGAACGGACAAAGGGAACCTTTATATTTCTCTGCTGTTGTGATTGTTATTCTCTGGAACGTGACTCTGCCAATGTCTCTACAACTTCCACGGAGCTTCTTGCTTAAAAATAATAGAACATCTAAACCTGGTTACCTTTGAAATACTAGTGTTAGTTTGGTTTTTATTTTCTCCTGCTCTACTATCACAAGATAAACATTGAATTTAAATTTTTATTTTGAAAAAACAAAATCATGACTCTGCAGCATCCACGTCCTTGAGAGGAGAGAAGTCACAGCTTGACGTCCACGCTCAGTCCAGCTGATTGTTTTCAGCTGTGACTCACTAATTAGTAGGTTATCAGCACAGCTGGAACGGATGGAGTGATGATTAACGGAAAAAAAAGGTACTTTTGAAATTGGTTTGAAAATTGTCCAAACCATCCAAACCTTATCATCCCCCACTCAGATGTTTCTAGTCTTGTTTTTTGTCACATGAAAATCTCAGTGTCTTCTCCTCTACTCGGGGTTCACAGGTGGAATCTGTGTCCATATTAGGTGAGTTCCAAACACCTTAGAGATGTAATGCAAGTTTTCTTTTTTTGGCTTGTTTGTTTTTGACAAATTCTACACACATTTGCCATAATATGTCAGAGGAAATGACAGTAATAATCTGTCTGTGGTAATCTCAGACAACCTCAGTGCTGTGTACTGTGTTGTATCTGGTTCTGGAGTCCAGATCAGGTCTGGTGCTCACACCTCTCTCTATACCATTAATCTTTTGGAGGAACAATGTGTCTAATATTCTCCACATAGTAAATGTCCCAGAGTACATCCGTCTCACTGGAAGTCCAACAAAGTCAGGAAAACAGTCTCTATAAAGGAAGAAATAAAACTCACTGAATAGTCTGCAGAATAGGGTAAAGTGCTTGTTAGCATTTTCGTTAGCAGCTAGGTCATAGGTCAATATCTGTACCCATTATGAAGTATTTGCATTTGTATTTGTGATTTAATGCATGAATGCATAATAAAGTGTTATCCATCTATCTGGGAGATCAATAAAAGATTAAGAAGTTAGACGCCACCTAAAAGCCTCAATTGGCCCCAGGACCAGCCTTTGGACACATGTTACATGCTGTGATTTTTTTTTCAGATTATTTCACTAAGTCATCATGTAAAAGTGTGTCCTTTAATCCACTAGCAGAGAGTAGAGGTGCCAGGTCCTGCTTGTGTTTGTCTGCCCAGTCTGTGAGAGCACATGTGTGGTCAGGTTGGACCGGCGACCAAAGCCCGTCACACGAATTCCTTTTCATTCAGCTGGAGTTGAAAAGAAGAGACGGACAAAAAGAGGGTGAAAGTAGAAGCGAGAGGGAGTGAGTCAGTGGCTGGGGGAGGAGGAGGAGGAGGAGTGGGGAATGTTAGGTTGAGTTGACGAACACACACAATCCCTGGCATACAGCTTTTCTGAGTGTCGTGTAAACCTCCCCTTCACTCTCCCTTTTTGTGCCTGTCACACATGTCCACCCGCCCTCCTCTCTGCCCCACCCTGTGGCCCCTCTGCTGTGGAGTTGGGGGTTTGTCTGCTTCTATAAAAGCTCGGTTTGCGCCCCAGATGAGCTTCGTCCCCCGTCATGGAGAGTCAGAGAATCCAGTCCTCGTACAGGAAGCGCTTCGGGCCTCAGGGCTCCAGCGCCTCAGCAAGCAGAATTGGGAGCCTTTCTTCCAGCCGTTTATCCTGGCACGGCACCCCTCGTACCTTCACCCACTCCAGCCCCGTATCCAGGGTCTCCCTGGGCTCGGCCAGCACGCTGCACCTCCTGGGGAGTCCGGTGGACCGGCTGGACTTCACGGCAGAGTCCCTGATGAAAGCCCAGTTCAAGGAGACCCGCACCAACGAGAAGATGGAGATGATGGGCCTGAACGACCGCTTCGCCAGCTACATTGAGAAGGTTCGTCTCCTGGAGCAGCAGAATAAGATTCTGGTAGCTGAACTGAACCAGCTGAAGGGGAAGGAGCCCAGCCACGTGGGAGACATCTACCAGGAGGAGCTGAGGGAGCTGCGGCGGCAGGTGGACTCTCTCACTGCTGGGAAATCCAAGTTGGAGATAGAGAGGGACAACCTGGCTGCAGATCTGGCAACACTGAAGCAGAGGTGAGAGGGAAAAAGAGGATGATGTTAGGGTTATCAGGATCGTGGTGATGTGATTTAGTCAAAGTCAAGTTAACTTTTTTTTTTATTTATTAGAAACTAATTAGAATGTGTTGATTTTTGTTAACCACTATCTTGTGTTATTGTACTTTTTCATGATATATTCATCACAACTTGACTGCACAGGCATTTATATGTAAATGTGGTTTGTGTGGTGGACGTGCTGGAATGCACAGCAGTCTGCTCGCTCCCTGATCACCCTTTACAAACTTGATCCGGGCTGAGACCCTATTGAAATCAGTGAGTGAGTGTGAGGATGACGTAAACACAATGGCCTCCTCACACAAAGGTAGCGGACAGCCTGACACAGATGTTCACTCGTCCTCCTCCTCCTCAAAAATATATGTTTTCATCTTTGTTTGTTGATAATAAATTCAGACGTCACCTGTGTAGAAAGATGGAGTCACTCTGTGGACAGAAAAGTTCACTGTCCATCACTTCCCTGACCTCCAGTCACCGTGCAGCTGCAAGGGCGTCAGTGTGAATAGTGATGTCGTGACTCAGAGGGTCAAAGGTCATCACTTCATTCAAGTGAACTCCACATGAAACTCAGATGGAAACAGCAGATGGATGTGTGTGTGTGTGTGTGTCCTCCATCCCGTGGGAACGACCTCTGGCTGTTAGATTGCGGTGCATGTGCAATGATGCATAAGTTTCCCTTTCAGCTGAACCGTGAAAAATGAATTCAACAAATTCAAGTCCTGTCTGTAGTAGCTGCAAAATACTGACGTTTCTTCATCAAAATGTGGTTGATTTTTTGTCATTTTTCGGACTTGTACAGATTGCAAGATGAGAACGGACTCAGACAGGATGCAGAGAACAATTTGAACACTTTCAGACAGGTAATGTTTTTTCTTAAGATTATTTTTGACAGCCTGTCTGCTGTGGGTAACAGAAAAGTGTCAAATACAAAACAAAATAAATGAAAAATGATTAAAAATAAAGTTAAAATTACTCAAGGAATTAAACAGTAAATGTCAAAAGTCATTGGATATTTATGAGACAAAGGGTTCCAATATATGAGTCAGCACAACTGCAAAAATAAATATTAAATACATGTTTTAAAATGGTCTTTCTTCCTCATAGATGACTCGTGACTCATCTTCTTGATATTCCTTGTTATTAAAATGAGTCATAAACAGACATTTTCTTAGATTTCTTGACTCTTCCTTCACTCATTCCTCCTGCTCCTCTGAACTTCTCCAGGACGTGGATGATGCAGCTCTGACTCGTGTCCAGCTGGAGAGAAAGATCGATGCCCTGCAGGATGAAATAAACTTCCTGAAGAGGATTCATGATGAGGTAAGAACGAACTTTAAAAAAAGAAGACGCCGGGTCAACTTTAGAACAGTTAATAATTAAAACGTACAAAAAATTAAAAAAAAACGTAAAAACATGAATTTCTAAATCTCTTCCTCACATCAACACCTCTGCAGGAGGTGCGTGAGTTACAAGAGCAGATCATGGCTCAGCAGGTCCACGTTGAACCAGATGTGTCCAAACCAGACCTGACCACTGCTCTGAGAGAGATCAGGGTCCAATACGAGACCATGGCCTCCTCCAACATGCAGGAGACGGAGGAGTGGTACCGATCCAAGGTCAGTTGGTCTCAGATTTGGCAGCAGAAATCCACAGTTTGTGATTACAGCCTTGACATCACTGTTTACCGTGTGTGTTGTTGCACAGTTTGCTGACCTGTCAGATGCAGCCAATCGCAATGCAGAAGCCCTGCGTGTAGCTAAGCAAGAGTCTAACGAGTATCGTCGCCAGATCCAAGTGCTGACCTGTGACCTGGAGGCTCTGCGCGGGACGGTAAGAACCAAGTCTGAGTGTTCTCTGTGGTTCTTTATTTTTTAAGCTTTTTTCATCAATTTTCATCAACCTTTGTGAATTGTATTTTTTATTTATTTTTCTTTTTAATGTTTTTAATTTCCCATATTTATTACTTTTAAATCTTTGTTCTTGTGACTTTCTGACTAAGTTTAGCAGCCTTCAGTTTGCCTTTGTTTTAATGGTAAAGTCTTTCAATGTTAACTGAGACAATCCAGTTTCCTGATACAGTCATAGTCCAGCACATAGTCTGAGGTATTCTCTAAGGACGGTGTTGTTGTCAGAGGACTGCGATTAGAACAGTTCACAGAGTCGGTGGCAGATTTACAGAAGCAGGTGAACGTAAATAAAACCAACACTGTGATTGTTGGCAGGAAGCCCGTCTCTTCTGAAGTGAAGTTCTTACCAACAATAAATTCAAACTCTTTTCCCTCTCCCTCCTCCTCCTCCTCCTCCTCCTTTAGAACGAGTCTCTGGAACGTCAGCTCAGGGAGATGGAGGACCGCTTTGCCATAGAGACCGCTGGTTACCAGGACACTGTGAGCCGCCTGGAGGAGGAGATCCATGCCCTGAAGGAGGAGATGGCCAGGCACCTGCAGGAGTACCAGGACCTCCTCAATGTCAAGCTGGCCCTGGATATTGAGATCGCCACCTACAGGAAGCTTCTGGAGGGAGAAGAGAGCAGGTGAGCCTCAGCCTGGTGGACCTGTCGGAGGTGTTGACTCTAAACAGGTTGATGTGATAATGTGGTTCCTTATCTGGTTCTACAGGATCACCATTCCAGTGCAGAGCTTCGCCAATATGCAGTTCAGAGGTCTGTAAAGAAACATATATATATATATCCATATATATATATACAGTATATACTCTGATTTAAAATGTCAACATCTGATAGCACAATCATCTGAACACTGTAAATAGATGTTGCTGGCCGTCTGACTGTGATAATTGTTACCGCCCCCTCTCACATCTCACAGTAATTGCACAGACCTATGACAGGTATTTCTTTCAAACTGGCTCCTCTCTGATTTTATAGTAATTTGAACTGTACTACTGGTAATAACTGATAATTATAACTTTGTTCTTGAAGACCAAATGCTCCTAAGAAAATATACTTCCACTGAAATCAACCATCTCTGTAGCCTTGTACCTGAAACATAGAAATCGTATTTCATTTTTAAATTTTTGTTTTAAAGCACCTTCCTGTCCCTCTGTCCTCTTCCCTGTAGACACTAATCTGGACACCAAAACCTCTGAGGCTCATGTGAAGAGGAGCATCCTGGTTCGAACAGTGGAGACCAGAGATGGAGAGGTAACACACTGCACCTCGGCCCCAGTACCAACAGAGGCCAGTGTTGAACCCTTCTGTATGTTTACAAGTGTACCGTGGGTCACTGCACCTGACAACAAAAACACCAGAGATTTTTTTTTTTTTTAACTTTTTTACCTTTGTCCCTCCTTGTTTTTTCAGATCATTAAAGATACGACTACAGAACGCAAAGATCTGCCGTAAAGATCAACGAGCTCCACAAATCCACGTCGTCAGTGATCAACCAGAGAATTCTAAAAGCATGTTACATTTTTTTTCTTTTCCTTTCCTGTTGTCATCGTTTTCTTCTGTCAGTATCAACATTAGAATAAATCGTTAAGTGTTTCTAATTAAATTAGGACTGTGGAATACTCACCAAAAAAATCACAAAAATAAGTCTGTATTTGGATTCAAGCCTTTTATTTTAACCAATAACTTTAAGCTGCAGATTTCTCTGTGCTTACAGTAGGAACGTAGTTTATTTCAGTTGATAACATTGGGATTCTGTTACTTTAACTCTGACAACCAGATTTTAAGCATTGATTCAGATTAGCTAAGACGTAGAGACTGTGATCAGCTAATACCCAGTGTGGAGGATGTCGACGTGTGGTTACTCTGTATGTGAAATTTGGTAACGTTGGAAAAAAGAACCAGGAGGGAACCTGTTGAGTTTGCAGATGTAAGAGTTGGGTGTTTGGGTGTTGAGTGAGAGATTTGTGTACGTTAGTGTGGCAGAACGACAGATAAATCTGGGCTGGTTTTTGTGTTTTGTTTCTTTTTTTTGTTGTTGTTGTTGTTGCTGTGTTTTCTACTCTCGACTGGTGCTATTTTTTTTTCAGTTTTCAGCTGTAGTTGCTGCCTCTGCTTGGTATTTGCACAGAAAATATCCTGCCCACCGGCACTAGTGTGATATTAGATCTGTTCTCAGGTTCAAACTGGGTCAAACAATGTTTTTGTCTTTCCTCGTACGACCCTTTTCAGATGAACACAGATGAGAGGCATCTCATCTAGGATTTTCAAAATTCAGTTGGGTTTTGACTACTGACTACATACTGTATTCAGAAACTACTTTTACTACTACTACTACCGACACCTTCTGTACCTTATGTTCTGTGTTGTTTATTCTGTCGAGGACAGTGAAGACCCTGGAGGAGGTTGTCTTCAAAAGTCACTTATTTTACTTCACTCTCTTCAATCAAATTGCAAAATCAATAACTCGACTCCAGCTGATTACACTGCTGTCGACTGGCTTCATGTCCACGATGTTGCAGATGCTGAGACTGACGTTTTTTTAAATTTCTTCGTATCAAGTCACATCACCACCAACACGGGCTGCAGCAGCTAAAATTAAATTTCTATGTTTTCTCAGCACATTTTAATGAAGAGGTTGAGAATTCTTTTGTTACTTTAACTTACAAAAACGTGTATTTCTGGCTGCGGACATTTTAAGCTGTACCATCCAGACAGAGTCCTGGACCACGGTGTAGTCTGTGTGTGTTCAGACCCCTCAGATTAACAGCCACCTCTGCACCGTCAGCTCTCTGCGCTCTCAGCCCGCGGTGTCTTCACTCTTCTAAATACACCCTGATAAGATGTCATCGTTTTCTGACACCAGCATGTGTCAGTGGTAACATAAGCCCACACTTGTCCAGCAGCAGCGATAGGACAGCGCCAGGATGAAGACGTGGAGGAGGTGTTTGGAAGCGGGCTCGACCTTTGACCGCAAAGCTTCCTGTTAATCCACCAAAGTCCTCTCCTAGTTCCTGTCCAGTTTGACTGATAGCAGAGAGAAAAACCCCACAGCCCTCCATCCAGCCAGGACACAACTTTTTTCTTTTTTTTTTTAACAATTGTGAAGAGGCGGATGTTGAGGTAAGAAGACTTGGTAGCAGCGTGAGACGATGGATGAATGTCACAGCTCAGTCTCAGCCTCATGACTTCCTGGAAGCTGCTGACAGCAGCCACGCTGACAGGCCCTGCACTAATGAGAGTTCCACTCCGCTGAAGCTCTCTCTCTGCTCATCACCGCAGACGCACAGGGATTTGGGTTCCCGTGTGTCTCCCACCTTCTCCCCCTCCACTTCTTCAGCTCCATTTCATCATCTTTTCTTTTCTGTTTCTCCCTAACCCACATCTT